CTAATTAATATTAAAAAATAAATAAATAATAAATTAAAAAAATAAACAAACAAAAAAATTAAATTAAAGTGACTTACCGCTATAGCCACTAATTGCTAATTCCATAATTTCCAACTGATCCTGAAATATAGATATTTAAAAATTAATAATTCTAATTTATATATATTGACACTTTCCCCTTTTATTTTGCCTTACCACCTCACCATTCTACTACCTCTCATTTATCCTACTACTTCTCACTACTCCAATTCTCCCACCTCACTACTCACTTAATTAGACACAAATCTTAAAATAAATTAAAAATATATTAACAAACAGCAAAAAAGAGAAAATAAAAAAAAAATTAAAAAAAAATATTTACTTACCGCAGCTGAAGTTAGTAAACTTGCTTTCTTCAGTTCTAAAAAAGAAGTTTATAACGGTATATTAACAAAAAAGATTATTAATTTATTAATTAATAATCAATTCAAAATCCGAATTCAGATCTGAACCTAATCTGAATCTGATAGATCAGATCTGAATCTGAATCTGACAGATCAGATCTGATCTGAATTCAAATCTGAATTAGATCTGATCAGAATCTGATCTGTCAAATTTGAATTGGATTCAGATTGATCCAAATTTATGCGATACATTAATTTAAGGAGATTTTAGAAGGAAATGGATCATATTTTATTATTTTATTATCCTATTTTTAATAGGAAATTAAACAGTAGGTTTTAGTGATATATTTTTTATTATATTTTTATATTTTTATAAATTTATATTAGATTTTTATTATTAATAAAATTTAATATTTAATAAATTTAATAAATAAAATGTACTAATTATTGATACTGAATTGCTTGTCTAATTGGAGTTGATTGGCATTAATTGACATCTGAATTGTTGCTAAATTGATACTGAATTGAGGCTAATTTTAAGCTGATTTATGGTTAAATTACTTGTCTAATTAGAGTTGATCAACATTAATTAGCATCTGAATTATTATCAAATTAAGGTTAATTTTAAGCTAATTTATGGTTATTTAAGTTCTGAATTGATGCTAAATAGCTATGTCCAATTGGAGTTGATTAGTATCTATCAGCATCTAAATTGTTGCTAAATTGAGGCCAATTTTAGGCTGATTTATGGTTGAATTTAAGTTCTGAATAGCCATATCCAATTGGGATCAATTGGCATTTATCAGTGTCTATTTGTGCTGATTAAAAAATATAGCAAATAATATCAAAATCAGCCTAAAATTGGCCATCTGATTTTTAGCTGATTTAGACTATTTCAACTAGTGAAATTATATTAAATATTTTGGAATTAAATTTAAGGAAAAGATATTTTGTATTATATTCCTATTTCACTTGTTCCTATTTTCTCATTTCTACTAGCCAAGTTTCAATTTAATTTTACATACATCAATTTGGTTGAATTTCAGTAATGATAGAAATAAGTTTTATTCTGAATAGTATTTGATAAAACAGAAGATTTTTGAAGTTTTTCTACAATTGTAATTGTAGGTATAGGTGTAGATATAAGTATAGGTAGTTGATTTATTGAAGCTGAAGAGGATTCTATAGTTTTCTCAGCATTTTACACATTCTTTGCATTGCATTTCTTAAAACATTTAGAATACCTATAAAATTTACAGAAAATTTTCTTTATTTAATATATAAAAAAGATGATCAACTAATTATTCTGATTATCTAAATTTTTGATAAATTGTATTTTTAGCATAATACCCTATTTAG